CTAAAGTCCTATCCCAAGCAGAAAAGAACTACGACATTGGAGATCGAGAACTACNCAGTATAGTACTACCCCCCAACTTTATGGATGATTTTATGAATTTAATTTTACATATTATACTTGAATAAATATGGTAATTTACAAGCATAAAATATTATTTTCAACAGTGAGTATGAGATTTTCCTCATTGTTCCTAATTATTATTCAGTTGTTATAAAGAAAAATAAGATACATAAATAGAAAAGTTGTGTTGGGCCTCCGCTATTTTTGAGACAGAACATTAACAAAACATTACTCCTGTTCTGTGTCTGAGAGCAACTTGTTTTAATGACGTCTCTTTAAATGCAAATGAGGCACTTCACGCCTTCCTCAATCCCATTTGGCCATTTTTGTAGTTTCATAGCAGAGATTTGATTATTTAGCGGAGCAGAAACTTTTTATTTACAATTTGGGAATGGAAGACTTGTCCAGTCTGACCCAGAGCCAGAGGAGGATGAAYACGACAAACATCCTGAACCATGGATTTGCAAAATTGGTTAGCTGGTAGTCCATGACTTTGTTTAGCAGTTCAGTTGCAAATATTGTGATATTACTGCTCAAAAGGCATAATAAGGAATAGAGAAAGTTTTACCTTTCTGCARTCCTAGACTCCWAGTACACAACAAAACAGTATTTAAAGTGCCTGTGACATGCTTATCATTCAGATACAAAACATCAAATAAAACATTGTTCTGTTTAAGAAACTTGACATACATTCTTTAACCCATTTAGACACATAACTGGCCATTTTGYACTTGGCTTGGCAAAAGGGACACAGGAAGTGACATCAAAGGGGAACTCCTTTAAGAAAAATAACTCTGTTTATTGAAACATTATTATTTGAACTCTGACTATTTTTTGTTTATGTCTGATAGTGACTCAAAATAATCTAAAACATCAGGTTCCTCTCCATGGTTTGGGCTGTTGCACGTTTTAGCTTAGCTCTGTTTCCATACAGACATTCCCCTTTGACATCACTTCCTGTTACTTCACTTGCAAATATCTCAACTGTTCACCTCAGCAGCACGAAAAATATTTTGTAATATGTTGTCAGTGTCATCTTTCCAAAAATGCATTTGTATTATTACAAAAACTTTGATGTRACTGGCACTTTAAGGGCTGAAAATGTGGATTTTGAATATGTAATTTTTAACACATTTTCAGTAAACGTTTTTCTCTTTATTCAGCTTATTTTTTTTACTTAGAGTAAGCAAAACTAAACTCAGTGTAAGTCGTGTAAGTGTAATTTTAAAGGCTATGGTAAAATTGGGCTCACAAAGACAAACACTTGTTTGGACTGGGGGGCTGTAGCAGCAACAGGACACCCCTCAGGAGAGAGCTCCATGTGCTGATGCAGCCTTGAGTCTTGGCCTCGCTGACTCAGCAGTTCTGGATTGAACCACAGAGACTCGACAGTGGCATAAAACGTGGRAAAGTAGGGCTGCCTTCTGCTTAAAAAAGACCAAATGCCACGATGTATATGACACACCAAGGTGGGTCAAAAGAATCAGCTGAGTCATATGAGTCATTGCTGATGCACTTATTGGGACTAGATTATGTCAAGGAGAGCTTTAGAGGTAAAACACACCATTTTAATCCAATTGTCTGATTAAATATTCAAACACAGCTCACCGAAGCAACGAAATGCATCAATGCTTTAGCAGTTTTGATTAAAATGATTCTAAAATACTCCTGAAACCAACAAAAAAGTGCATTTTACCATAGTAAACTGTCACACTTGCAACCARGACAAGTTTTAAGATTAAAACAAGCATACGGACCATTAGCAAAACCAGAGCCGAGCCAATAAAAACAGCAGAAGGTGCACATTAGCTTGTAAAACTCATGACATTACAAAACAGTGACTGATAACAGCAGTTCAAGTTGCGCATACATTAAGCAGTGTGAGTTACAAAATAGGAAATAGGGCAAGAGTATGATTGATGTCTGCATTAAGCTGGCTGGATCGTTGTAGTTATATGTGTTTGTATGCACCGAGCTACTTAATTTCCTATATTTTTCAGGATTAGGGTTCCTTTTCTTGCCTGCTCAGCTTCTTTCAGCAAGAAATTATGCATCTCAGTTTTAACATGCTCCATTTCATTTATCTTCCACATTAAATTTGGGTTTTATGTTTTTGTGTCTTCATGGTGCTATAACAGCTGCACGTAGGTAAATAAAGATGTGTAAGCCGACATTTGGCAGCTACTCAGAACAAAGTATTTTTAAGTCATACCTAGAGACTGTAGTTTTAGTTTAATTTAGCATAAGCTTTAAATGGTATAAATCATTTATAAATGAACTACATTTTTATGTAAAAGGATAGTTTCCTCAAAGTACTTGTTGAGGGTGGGGCAATCTCCAACTTCTCAAAACTATGGGAGTGTCCAGACCCACCCAATGCCTGCAGAACTCCACCAATATCAGGCATATCAGGACCGCAGCTAAATTATTTTAAAAACTTTTGTTTAAATTACCATTTTTTTACCAAAATAACTTATTTTAACAGTCCTGTGATGGACTTGCGACCTGTCCAGGGTGTACCCCGCCCCTCGCACTGTGACTGCAGTATATGGGCACCAGTGACCCACGCAACCCTGAAAAGGAAGAAGCGTGTACAGAAAATGGATGGATGGATGAARTGATTTTAACAAAAGCGCTCCCCAAAGTTAAGATTTAACTGGTCTCCTTCGGATGGTGAAAAAACGATTAATGTTCCTTTTCTTTTATGTTTACAGAATCCCAAGCTGTAAAAATGGGCTAAAATTACTAATTATTACACTGATAACACATCATTTTCCTTTTATTTATTGTTAATCATTCAGGTAAAACAGTTCTTAAACCATGGATGTCATAGTTTCTGGATCTAGTCTRGTTTTGTTTACAGTTTTAGCTCATGTCATGTTTTCAGCAGCTCCTGTCACAGCCCTGCTTCCCCCTCCCCTCACAGTTCCTCTGCTAATCATCTMATTCGACTCACCTGTTGTCCTGTGTATTTAAGCCTCACTCTCCCACAGCTCCAGTGCCAGTTTATCATCAGCCACGCCTATGATTCACCAGCATTCTTGTCCCTTGTCTTGTTCTGATCTCGGCTCCTCGACCCTCGCCTTGTCCCACGGATTATCGCCTCACGTCTCAGCCCATGTCGGTAACCTTCAGTCATCTGCTCCTCTGGTAATGATCCTCGCTTTGTTTCTCGGACTCCTGCCTCTCGCCTCCTCCATTCTCGGCACTACGAACTCTCGGACTTCCTGGTTCTCGACCCCTGCTTGCCTCTCTGGACAACCCTGCTCCACGTCTCCCAGGTATTCGACCCKTGCACTGTTTAATGACCAACGAGTTAAGTTTGATCCCACAAGGCTGCAAGCTAAGGAGTTAGCCTGTTCAACCACGGCTAACGAAACACGGAAATCTCTTCCGGGATTCCCCAGTGACGTAATCGGGACTCCGCAATGTCAGACCAATCGGATTTCCCGCTGCACTCTCCGAACCTCCAGGTTAGTGGCAGTATTTATAATCTGTCAAATTCCTAGTATCACTGCTGACACTAARTCCACTCTCCTGTGTCCAGAGAACCGAGACCTGCTGACTGCTTGTTTCCCGTTTCCAGCTAACATTCAGTTTTACAATAAATCTGTTAAAACTTCCTTGGTGTTCGGTGTTAATTCAGAACTCATAAAACAAACCCTAACAATGGATGGGCAACTGGTGGTCTACAGGCTGTATGTGGCCCGTGGGTGGCTTCTGTCCGGCCTGCCAATGAGGCCCCACCTCTCCCCAGAAAAGACACCAGTGCAAAAATAAAAATATTTTTATATATATAAAATTAATTTATAAAAAGCATAAACAATACATTAGCTGTTTACATTTTTAAGTTTAAAAAAGTTTTTATTTTGGGGAGTAGACTATCTGTCCACAGAATTTCAAGGCAAACCTTTGTGTTTAGTCTGCTTAGGGACGCTGTCTGCCATGAATCTTTTTAAAGGAGACATATCATGCTAAATACACTTATTATAGTGACATCTTCCTAAAATAATTGTGTAACTCAATTTTGCCAACTAAAAACTTGGGAGATTAATTTAAGAGATGCACATGTCCCAACATAAATGGACAAACACTAAAACTAAGGATATTCTATCTATAATTTCAGTTAGTTTTAGTTAGTTTTGTAAAATGATTATACAGTTTTAGTTAATCTTTTTCTCATTTTATTACAGTTTTTATTTATTTTAGTTAACTAAAAAGTTTTTTCTATTTCAATTCTTGTTATTTAGTTAGTTTTAGATAATAACTCTGGTGTGCAGCACTTTGTGTCCCCCTGGTAGTGTCGACAAAAAATTGCCCTCTTCCATCATTTAAGTTGACCAACCTTTAGCTTTTGTGCTACCTTTAGTGCAACATAACTTAGACGATACTAACCCCCTAAAAAGCATTCACATTAATAWAGTGCAGCTATAAACAGCTCCTGTAGTGATAATGAAACGTCTTATTTACCTAGTAGAAATTTTCTTGTTAACATCAATATTCACAACTGAACAAAGTGTAAGGTTTGAAATTTATTGCACATTTAATGTTTTTTCTCCACACAACTCTTCACCAAATAATGAGAATTATCTTGACCTACAGCTTTGTGTGCATGAGTCCCATTCTTGGTCTGAGTTCTACCTATGGACCTGACCTTTACATAAATAGGCCTGTGACCTGTATTACCAACTCCCCCCTGCAGGGATTTGCACCAGGTATCATAATTCTATTTAATGAATAACTTAACATTTAAAATCCTGGGCAAAAGTCCACCCGGGTTTTCTCTCTGTGCCCCCCCTGTGTCAGGGAGTTATTTAACTCTGCTCCTGGGAGAGGAGTTGCTAGTGGCAAAAGGCCATTTGGAATATTTTAATGAAAATCATAAAAACTTGAAAACTCCCAATATAGCTTACTACAAAAGSCTTAAAATATATTGTTGCTGAGTGATTTACTTGGTTTGACTGATGACGGGTGTAATCCTAAAGGTGAACACACACACTCTTACATACATTCACACAATGGATGGCACACTTCCTACAGAGCTCTGACCTGAATGAAGTTGAATTCTCTCCAGCTGAGGGAGCTTCCCACAGAGGGCAGGGATGTTATTCCAAGAAGGACAAAAAGAAAAAAGCCCAGGATTCCAAGTGTTACAAATGAGTCTGTGCCCCACGCCTCAGTAGAATCAAAGTAAAATGGGGTGCTTTTATTATTCTTKACCTACACAAAGAAAGGAGAAGATCAGGATTAGCTGTGGTTCCTTTTGTTCATAATATAATGCAAGTTTTTGTGCACGTTTTCAGTTTCGCGGCACGAAACCGAAGCCGGATTGGCCAGCTCTACCTCATCCACCACGCGCGAGATGAGTTTGTGCCTGACAGCGTAGCGAATAGGAATGATAAATGTGTAGGTGACGTGGAGGAAAGCGAAGCCGAGTGCAACAAGACCCATCTGCTTCCTGCTCTGCAACCACCGGTCAAGCCAGTTAGGAAAGCGCCTGGGACAAGCAGAACCAAGTTAGTCGCTTCTTCTTCGTCAAAACATGATCATATTAGCAAATTCTATCAATTTTGATTTTGTAATCTTTTTGATTTGGTTTTCTATCCGACCTGTATTTGGTCCCTCTGTAGAGCTGAAGAATAGCAGCTATAGCACCAGGCAGGTAACACAGAGACAACATAATGAGCGACACAATGGGGAAAACCTAAAAGATGAAACAGAAAGAATGAACAAAGCACAGATCGTATCCAGTGGTGGGCACCAGCCCCCTAAAGTGCAAATCTGTTAATTGCGGACGTAAATATTTCATTTGCGCTTTAGCGGACTTACTAATTTTTATAATTCATAAGCGCATTTGCGCTTTCTAAAATTAAAATGCAGTACCACTAATAAACAATTATCTACCAGTCATTATCTTGAACAGCAGAAGGTATGACTGTCAATGAATCACAACACGTGATCTATCCAACAGCACCCCTCCCAGATAAACACACTTATTG